AATCTTGCATGTAAAAGGCTTCTCATTTCTTCTGGTCTCAGCTGCTTTGAAGCAGCTGAGACCAGAAGAAATGAGAAGCCTTTTACATGCAAGATTTCTGAAACTTTCTCATTGCGTTTGGAAAGGGTTTGTAATTGGATGAATACAGGGATGGATGAGAGATACTTAGTCCCTCCCTTGCTTTACAAATTAGTTCTTTCCAGTTAGAAGTTGTAATCTGAGACACAGCCTTTCTTTTGCTGAAGAGAAAAGGAGGGGGAATTAGCCCCTTCCTGGAACTATGATGTATCTTAATCAGTTGTAAAGGCTTTGTCTCCCTTCCAAATGAGCATAGCAGAATCAGCTTTCTGTTTCCATTTAAAAATACAAACAAGAGTTCTCAAACTTTCCAACTGAGGTTTGATTATCTTTTGAGAACTGGGAACTTTCTAACTCTCCTTGTTATGCAAATAGAGTCTCTGAGATAGCAGGAAGACAAATTGAGCAGAGAAGAGGGTGGGCGGATGGGTAGAAAGATCTTTTTGTTTGTAGCATGTGGGGAACTCCAGCCCCTCCCAACATCCACAGCATGTAAAAAGTTCCGATGCTCAGAGAGAAGATGGGACATGCAGGTTTATATTAACATTGCATATTCACTCCTGGCTTCAATATTTCTTCGCTTATCATAAATCCAAATTAACAATTTTATTCTGATGGGTTAGGACACATATTTTACTGTCCTGTCTCATGCACAGTGGTGGATCTGTAGCTGTGTAGATGCAGATAGATAAATTCTGCAAAATATCCATAACAAAGTACACTTATTGGTACATTAGGTATCTTCATAACTCATATTTGTGACAAAATTCTTCTATAATGACCAATCCTTTGTATATCAGCCTTGCAGGTAAAAGATGGTTATTTCCTAACCCATTTCGTAGTGATATAAAGAAAGCTGCTATCAGTCCATGACTCCAGGCAAGAATGGAGGAAAACCTCCCCCAACCCGCCCAGGGTCAATTTAGTGACCAACCAGGATTACAGATGTGGCCACGTGACATGAACTACTTTTCCCAGGATACCTTTAACTACATTTCCCATGATGCTTTCCCTTAAGGGGACAGCTCATAATTCCTAGATAACTATCCAATTCCCATAGACTGGCTGAGACAGCACAGGACCAGGGGAGACATGATAGCAGTCTTCCAATATTTGAGGGGCTACCACAGAGAGGAAGGGGTCAAGCTATTTTCTAAAGTGCCTGCAGGCCAGACAAGGAATAATGGATGGAAACTGAACAAGGAGAGATTTAACCTGGAAATAAGGATAAATTTTCTGACAGTGAGAACAATCAATCAATGGAACAGAAGATGCCCTCAGAAGTTGTGGGAGCACCATCACTTGAGACTTTCAAGGAGATATTGGACTACCATTTGTCAGAAATGGTGTAGGGTCTCCTGCTTGGGTGGGGGGTTTGACTAGATGATCTCCAAGGTCCCTTCAACTCTGATTATCTGTTATCTGTTAAAATGAGCACTGTAGCCCCTTTTTCGACAGATGTCCAGGAGCCATAGCACCTGACGCGGCCCAGCAGGTTGGTATTCAGCAGGTTCTGACTAGTTCTAGAGAACCAGTAGTGGAAATTTTGAGTAGTTTGGAAAATCAGCAAATACTACCTCTGACTGGAGATTTTACAATAACCTTCCCCTGCTATGCTCACCAAGCCATGCCCACAGAACCGGTAGTAAAAAAAATTTGAATCCCACCACTGACATGGCTCTTGTTGACCGTGCAAAATTCCCGGTGTGGAATTTTGTTGATTTCTTCTCATAGTAGGTGCCTGGGTTGGTTCACGGTGGTTAAGCCACTACTGATCCAAAGATCCTGTGCTGTCCCAGCCAGTCTATGGGAATTGAATAGTTATTTAGGAATTATGAGCTGCCCCCTCAAGGGAATGCATCGTGGTAAATGTAGTTAAAGGTATCCTGGGAAATGTAGTTCTTGTCATGTGGCCACATCTGCAATCCTGATTGGTCAGTAAATTGACCCTCGAGGGGTTGAGGGAGGTTTCCTCCATTCTTGCCTGGACTCATGGACTGATAACAGCTTTCTTTCTATCGCTACGTGATGGGTTAGGAAATAACCATCTTTTACCTGCAAGGCTGATATACAAAGGATTGATCATTATAGAAGAACTTTGTCACAAATGTGAGTCATGAAGATAGCTGATGTACCAATAAATATAGTTTGTTATGGATGTTTTGTAGAATTATGTATCTGCATCTGCACAGCTACAAATCCACCTCTGTGCATGAGACAGGAAAGATCTCATAACCGTGGGAACCACACCGGATAGCTGTCCAGGCACAGCCATGGCAACCTAATTGCCTGTTTCCTGGCAGAAAGGCAGGATGGGGAGGAGGAAAGCAGCTGAACTGCCTGTTTTATTGTTGTTGTTGTTGTTGTTGTTGTTGTTGTTATAGAACTAATACCAATGTAATGAACATTGTTGTAAACAGTTTGATTATTTTCTAAAACTATTTGTACCCAGACAACACTGTTTAACTGAAAATGGAATTTTTATATGTTATAAAATAAAAAAAAACTTTATGAAAAATAATAATAAAATGGAGCACCAAGCACAAGTTCTCTATTGATGACAACAGCCCATTAACTCCAACTCCATGTGCCTTGACTTGTGAACCTCACAATCCTGAACCTGGATCAGTTGATGAACAGAATGGGATGTTTAAGCACAGACCCTTACCTGTGCCTCCTTTGGCCCCAGCCACCCACCTCAGCCCATTTACAGCCAATTTTCCTCCTCTGCTGGCCCTTCCCTCGCCATTCTCCACAACCAATGGACCCCTAGCCCTTCGGTCCTGGCCTTTTGTCCCTGTCTATTTGCCCAAATGCCCTTTGACTTGGGCCTTTTTGCTGCATGGGACAAATAGTTGCCAGCCAATCGGGTGGCAGGCAGAAAAATGGTGCTGCAGGGGCAGCATATGATTGGTGATAGACAATCGCAGGGGCTGTGGGTGGGTAGGGGGCAGTGTGCAATGAAAGATTTTTTTAAAAAAAGTAGTGCAGCTGCTTCGCAAGTTTTGGGCCCTTGCAGCTCTGTCAGTTCACAAAAACAGCTTGGCTCAAAACTGACGGGGGTAGGAGAAGTCGTACAGGCACATGGCAAGGCTAGCGTGGCTTCTGGTGCTGTGGGGAAGCTTTGGGGGGGTCCACGCAGGCAAGCGGCAAGCCCGGTGCAGCTTCTGATGTTGCTGGGGGGGGGGGGGGTGCAGGGAGGATGCTACCAGTTCGGCCCAGTTCTATAGAACCAGTAGCTATGAAGAGCAGCAGACACCGAACTGGTTCTCTGCAACAACCTTTTGGTCATCTGTTTGGTCCACCTGCCTGCCCGGGCTCTGGGCTGTCCTTTATTTCCTGCTTTTTCAACCTCAGCCGCTTTGCGTGGTACAGCTGAGGTTGAAAAAGCAGGAAAGAAGAGGTTTTTCAAACGCTGTGCATCCGCGTGCAGCACTTGTCAGGGCAACATGGCTGATTTTTTTAAAAAATACTCTACATGCGCACACAGCAAAAGGCACTCTCAACTGGTAGTAACACCAGTTAAATCCCATCCCTGGTGGGGGGGAATCTGGGGAGGGTGCAACAGAAGTGGTGCCTGGCTTGGGGGTAACAGAACTCAGGCCAGAGTGGTAATGGCAGGGCTCCCCCAAGCCACATGCCACCTCTGTTCCCCTGCCACACACATACACATACACACACACACCAGTCACCCCGCATGAAGTTACATCTAGTGACTGTATGAAGTTACAATGGCACTGAAAAAAGTGACTTTTGACCATTTTTCACACAACCATTATGGCATCCCCATGATCATGTGACCAAAATATGGCTGTGTGGCAATTGGCTCTTACTTATGACAATTCCCGTGTCCCAGGGTCATGGATCACCTTTTGCGACCTTCTGACAAATAAAGTCAATGGGGAAGCCAGATTCACTTTACAACTCTGTTACTAACTTAACAACTGCAGTGATTCACTAAACAACTGTGGCAAGAAAGGCCATAAAGTGGGACAAAACTCACTCAACAGCCGTCTCACTTAGCATCAGAGTATATTCATTAAGTGGCAGAGACATGGTTAACAAAGTCAGCAAGTAAGTAAGCATGGCAACAGACCAGCCAATGGGAGCTGACAGCCTGGATGTGGTTTGGCTCTGTCTGCTTTGCTGAGAATTGAAAGAGAAACTGCTCTGAACTGGAGCTGTAACTGATATCTGTTCTGAGCCCTCTGAGCTGCTATTTGTGTTACATTGAAATAATCTACTAATGGTATTGTAAACTTTACTCATATTATTATGTTTAGAAAGAAGTTAATGATCCTGCTGAATCAGTCATTTGTGTGTTTTCTGGACTTGAATTTCTACAGCAAATGCTAACACTTAGCAATAGAAATTTTGGGCTCAATTGTGGTCATAAGTCAAGGACTACCTATATGGGTCACTCAAAGGACCAATGTGCATTTACTTTAGAAGAAATGTGTGAAGAACTGTTACTTTCTAAGGAAGCTCCTCTCCCCAAAGTATCTCATCCAAACCGTTCCTCAGCAGAGCCTCCTTCCCATATGTAATGCGTCTCCTCAGCATTTCAATGCAAGTTTCCTCCAAGTAGTATTTTATGTGCTTGGCAACTGATGGATTCCCTTCCAATTTCCTCTTGGACAGTTGAGCTGCCGCGTCAGATGCTGTCCAGCTGAGGGTCTCCTTGTCAAAGCTGATAAAAGTCATCCCATCATAACTGTCTTGATCAGAACCTCCTCGTGGACAACCATAGCTCAGCTCACAACCATACCTCCACTGCAAGGTGTGAAACCCTGAAGAGATACACAAGGAAGCAGAGATATTAGAGTTGATTTGACTGCCGTGGTGATGGACACACCATTAGGTCAGGTTGGGGATAAATCATCCTGGAGAACCTCAATGTGGTCCCTACGAATCAAGCCTGACAGATTTATCTGATACAATAAACTGTTCTCCCCTATTGGAATATTGAGAAAGGTCTTTTATCCAGAGGGTTTTCTTTAATCACCCAACCCCATATTCCAGACCCTCTTCCAACTCTCCCTAAAGCAAAGAGGAGCAGGATTTGAATTTCTGAATGCAGAAGCAGAAACAGAAACAGAAACAGAATAGAATAGAATAGAATAGAATAGAATAGAATAGAATAGAATAGAATAGAATAGAATAGCTGGAAGGGACCTTGGAGGTCTTCTAGTCCAACCCGCTGCTCAGGCAGGAAACAGGTTGTCCAATCTCTCAGACAAATGATTGTCCAATCTCTTCTTAAAAACTTCCAGTGTTGGAACATCCACAACTTGTAGAGACACTGTTCCACTGATTAATTGTTCTGTCAGAAATTTTCTCCTTAGTTCTAGGTTGCTTCTCTCCTTGATCAGTTTCCATCCGTTGCTTCTTGTCTTGCCCTCAGGTGCTTTGGAGAATAGATTGACTCCCTCTCTTCTTTGTGGCAACCCCTGAGATATTGGAAGACAGCTATCATTCTACCCCTAGTCCTTATTTTCATTAAACTAGAGATACCCAGTTCCTGCAACCATTCTCTGTATGTGTTGACCTCCAATCTTCTAATCACTTTTGTTGCTCTTCTCTGCACTCTTTCTAGAGTCTCAACATCTTTTTTACATCGTGGCGACTAAAACTGGATACTGTATTCCAAGTGTGGCCTCACCAAGGCATTATAAAGTGGTATTAACACTTCATGTAATATTGATTCTATCCCTCTGTTTATTCAGTCTAGGACTCTGTTGGTTTTCTGTATTCTCTATAGAGGTAGATAAACTCAACAAAACATCAATACAAAGTATCTATTATGGATTCATCAGCTATCTTCATGACTCACATTTGTGAGGAAGTTCTTCTCCATGTCCAATTCCTTTGCATATCTGATTTGTAGGGAAAAGATGGTTATTCTCCTAACCCATCTCGTAGCGATAGAAAACAGTTGCCATGAATTAGGGAATTCAGGCAAAAGTGAGGAAAACTCCCCCAACCCATCAAGGGTCAAATTAGTGACCAATCAGGATTACAGATGTGGCCAAGTGACATGAACTACATTTCCCACGATACCTTTAACTACATTTACCATGATGCATTCCCTTAAGGGGACAGCTCATAATTCCTAAGTAACTATCCAATTCCCATAGACTGGCTGGGACAGCACAGTTGGCTTTTTTGGCAGCTGCGAGCAGCCTTTTCTAACTTTCCCTTCTGCAGTAGCAATTCCCCTTCCTCCCACTCTGCTGCAGAGATGGAGATCCTCTGCCCTTGCCCCCACCCCCACCCCCAATTACTCACCTTCACTGTGGTTGTAGTACTTCTTTAGGGTTACCAGATTTCTCCCAAAGTCCTGCTCTGCCTTCTTTGCTATTTCACTGTATTCCTTCCAAAGGGGTTCTTCTTTCTTCACCTGCTCCATCCAAGGCACTAGAGAGCGATACTCCTTCGTGTGGCTGTCATAGTGAGCGATAAACTGACCATCCAGAGACTCCAGGATGCTGAACTGGGGGAGCCCTTGGCTGGGCTTTGAGAGGAAGGTGTAAGAATAGTAGAGGGAATGCAAGGAGGAGGAGGAGGAGGCTGGAGGGAGGAAAGAGAACAGGGTTATGGGGATCTGCAAACTGAATCGCTCTCCCATATTCAGGGGTGGGATTCTACCTGGTCAGTCCAGTTCTATAGAACTGGTTATGATTCTGCACAGTTAAGAGAACTGCCAAATCCCTCCACTGGTGTAGGATCTCCTGCTTCAGCAAGGGATTGAATTACAAGACCTCCAAGGTTCTTTCCAATTCTGTTATTCTGTTCAGAGTGTACAAGACCTTTTCCCAACCAGATGGAGAGGCTCTGGCATTAAATTCATCCTATATATCCCTTCATACAACCTTCCTGGTCTCTCCCTATCTTGCCATTTGCCTCTAGAAATTGGAGGAAGAAGAAAGAGGTTCCTCAGTGTGAACCTTGTGTCTTTCTCTGTCTCAGACTTGTTGAGGTAGTCCTCAATTTACAACAGTTCATTTAGTGACCATTCAGAGTTACAACGGCATTGGAAAACGAGACTTATGACCAGTGGTGAGATTCAAATCATTTAACAACCGGTTCTCTGCCCTAATGATTTCTTCCAACAACCAGTTCACCAAACTGCTCAGAAAGTTAACAACCGGTTCTCCCAAACCGGTGCGAACCGGCTGAATCCTACCACTGGGCTCGCGTGCCCACACAAATGGCTCTGCGTTGCCACTAATGGCATGCATGCCATAGGTTCGCCATAACAGTCCTACACCATTCTGGACAAATGGCTGTTCAATCTCTTCTTAAAAACCTCCAGTGATGGAGCATCCACAACTTCAGGAGGCAAGTTGTTCCACTGCTTAATTGTTCTAACTTAATTGTTCTAATTGTTCATTTGTAGTTTGCTTCTCTCCTTGATTCATTTCCATTCATTGCTTCTTGCCCTGCCTTCTGATGCTTTAGAGAATAGATTGACCCCCTTTTCTTTCTGGCAGCCCCTTAAATACTGGAATGCTTATCATGTCACCCAGGGGTGGGAATAAATTTTTTTAACAAGCGGTTCTGTGGGCATGGCTTAGGTGGTGGGCGTGGCTTGGTGGTCATGTGACTGGGTGGACATGGCTCGGTGGTCATGTTATTGGCTGGGTGTGGCCAACTCAATATCACTCACATCGAGGCACGCATCTCCTCGCCTGGCCTCTCATGACTGTGGGGATGTGAAAAATGGTCATAAGTCACTTTTTTCAGTGCCATTGAAACTTTGGACGGTCACTCCACACAAGCAAAGTACCAGCAAAGGAGGGGGAAAAAAACTCCAGAGATGTTCCTGAGACGGGAAGTCTAGTCCTGCCAAGAATGTAATAAGGGTTAACGGAGAGGCAGTTTCTGTAAGCAACACCAGAATGTTTCCTTCCTGCCTTCATTACAGGATTAGGCCAGTAATTTCTTCTAACAGCCGGTTCTCCGAACTGCTTAGAATGTTAACAACCGGTTCTAGCAAATAGGTGCGAACTGGTAGAATCCCACCCCTGATGTCCCCCCCCCCTAATCCTTCTTTACAATGGACTAGGCTTAGTTCCTCGGCTTTAAACACAGTTTCTTTTTGCCTGAGGCAGCCAGGTAGATTTTCAGATCTTCTGTTACATTTTCTCCCCACCCACTCATAGCCCTCAACAACTGCATTTCATGCAAAGAATCACCAGGCCTGAGATGGGAGCAAATCTTGCCTTCCCCCTCACTCTTCTAGGATACTCACCACAGCAGTCCTCCAGCAGGAGAGCCAGGAATACCAGGATCAAAATTGGCCCAGTCTGGGAGGATCTTACAAAGTTTGTGCAGTTTCGGTTCCTTTCATGGCTGAGAGGTGGAAATGGCTCAAGAAGAGTCCTGGAAAAGTCAAACATGAGCTCATGACGATAGAAATGCGGGAAGCTGAAAAGAGACACTCAGCGCAAAATAATCATTTGCGGAAATTATCACTCCTTTCCCCCCTCAAACACGTTCATCCTTTGTTCCATTCCTAGGGTTCTGCCCCCATTCTTTCCTAGACTGTCCATCAGGAACTAATCTATTCTGCAAAACACAGATGCTCCATAGTTAGTAATGGCACTGACCAATGCACCGTTTAGCCACTGAAATCCTATCCTCCTCTGGCACTTAACCAAGCTGGTTCTAACTGATCTCAAGAGATCCCAAAGCTCTCTGCATAAAGAGCCGTGCAGGGATTCTGAATGCTCCCCAGGACAACAGCTGCCTCCTAGCTAAATCATTTCATGTTATCATGCCACCTGCTTTCTTCCTATTGTCTGAATAATTTGGGTCCCAATCAGAGTTGGTATTCAGCAGGTTCTGACCAGTTCCGGAGAACCAGTAGCGCAAAACTTGAGTAGTTCGGAGAACTGGCAAATACCACCTCTGATTGGCCCCGCTCCCATCTATTCTCTGCCTCCCGAGTCCCAGCTGATCGGCTGAGTCTTCTTTGGTTGCCCTGCACAGGACAACGGAGCTGGAAAGCGGGTTAGTGGGGTGGGGAGGGAATGGGATTTTGCAGTAACCTTCCCCTGCCACGCCCACCAAGCCATGCCCACCAAGCCACACCACGCCCACAGAACCGGTAGTAAACATTTTTGAATCTGACCACTGATGTCATGTGAAGTTACATAACAATCAAGCAGTTCTCTGTGCTAAAGAGATTCTGGACTCACTGTTCACGCTTAAGAAAATTAGCTAAGGGTGCAGCTTCTCGTCATACCCGCTAAATTTTGTAAGAGTGTTACAGCTTTGGCGCCCATAAGGGATGATCCAGAAGGCTTCACCCTTACTTTCTGAAATGTTTGGAATACCAGCTGATTTAGTCAATAGAGCCCAGGCTGTTCCCTTCCTATCAGATGCAGTAACTGTCCAGGATTTTATGTTGAAAAGATGTTGAGACTCTAGAAAGAGTGCAGAGAAGAGCAACAAAGATGGTTAGGGGACTGGAGGCTAAAACATGAAGAACGTTTGCTGGAACAAAAGAAAGGAACGTTTTTCCATATGTGGTCAAAAAATACTGGAAGAAAATACAGAGGTGGCTTTTTGAGATTACAAAATATAAATTGATTTTGGAACCCGAAACATTTTTATTAGGTATGATCAAAGGGAATTTGAGTAAAGATAAAAGATACCTTATTGTACACATCTTAACTGCAGCAAGAATCACATTAGCACAAAGTTTGGAAGAGTGATAAAATACCACCAGATGAAGTTTTGATTAAAAAAATAAATGGACTGTGCTGAACTAGATAAATTCACTATGGAACTGAAAGGCAAAGAGGATCGAGAATACTATGCGACATGGGAGAGGTGATACCAATGGGTGAAGGATAAGGATAAAAATAATGTATAGTCACAAAATAAGAAACATGTATATACAATGACACAATAACTGTGAATAGAAATGAGATTTTTGTATTTTTTGTTTTTAAAGAATAAAAATTATATTAAAAAAAAGAACGTTTGCTGGAACTGGGTATGTCTAGTTTGATGAAAAGAAGGACCAGGGGTGTCCGATATCTCAGGGGTTGCCACAAAGAAGAGGGAGTCAAGCTATTTTCCAAAGCACCTGAAGGCAGGACAAGAATCAATGGGTGGAAGATAATCAAGGAGAGAAGCAACCTAGAACTAAGGAGAAATTTTCTGACAGAACAATTAACCAATGGAACAGCTTGCCTCCAGAAGTTGTAAATGCTCCAACACTGGAAGTTTTTAAGAAGAGATTGGATGACCATTTGTCTGAAGTGGTGTAGGGTTTCCTGCTTAAGCAGGGGGTTGGACTAGAAGACCTTAAAGGTCCCTCCCAACTCTGTTATTCTGTTATTCCCTATCATACTTTTTGGAATATGGATATGACATCTCCCCACATGTTATTCTACTCTATGATTATTCTATGTGTTTCTCCTATTTTTACATTTTTGTTTATATCTGCTTTTTTTTTTTTAAAGAAAAGTTTGAACTAAACCTACATGGAGCTTATTGTGGGGGATCTTTTAACAGTACATGAAATATGTAAAATTGATTGTATATTTTATGCGGTTCTTTCTTTTACTTTGAATTGGTCTCTTTTAGGCTGCAATGAAGGCATCTCGTGCCCATTCACATATTTCCCTTTGGGCAAGTATGTATAACTCTGTTGGATTCTTCCATTGCAAATCATATTGTTCATTTAAATGAATGACCTTGTGGTGACCCTTCTATAGAGATAGATAACAGACCACTTTGGTTCCTTTTAAATGATCTTAGAAAATTCCCCAACACACACATTCATCTTCATCTATTTTTTCACTTCAAATGCAAATAGTAATAAATTAAGCAGTAATCCCTAGCAGTTCAAGCCTTGAGGCCTCCAGGGGATGGGCCAGATGTGGACCCAGTCTTCCCCTGTTTTGATATTAAGTGTGAATTTACTTGGTGTTAAAGTCTGGGTTTAATTTTCCAAGGGAAAAATGTTCATTTCCTATCTGAAGGGCGAGCTCTGATTTCAGCCATTCCGCTTTATTGCAGGAATGGTGCTGGGCCCACCCAGTTTTCCTCATCAATGAAGCCCCCACCACACAATGATGCCACCACCACACTTCCACGTAAAAATCAGACTCACACCCACAC